GCTTGTCTGGAAGTTTATTTAAATTTTAAAACTTCAAATCAAGGACTTGAAGTAAAGCTAATAAAAAGCTAAAAAATTAATTTAAAAAAATAGACGAATGCATTCGTAAGTATCTCCTAGAGATATTGAAACTGCACTGCACCTAGGAAGTAACTTTGCAAATGCAGCATACTACATAAAAAAAACTATTTCTTTTAATTTCACTATTGGCTGAGATGACAGTAATTTGTATTTGTCTTTTATAAAGTGATCTAAGAGATAGGAAAAATATTCGTCTTATTTTGCCACTATTTGACACGTGGCAAGAAAACTGAAAGGCGAAAAAGCTATCGCAGTCAAAAGTTCGTCAGTCACACATAAAAAACAAGGAAAATTGCCATTTAGAAGGAAAACCATTCCTAGCAAATGTTTTTAGAATTTCACATTACCTAAAAAATTGGAACTTCTAAAGTTACACAAAAATATTAAAATAATAAAATAATATAAAATGATTAAATACTGAAATTAAACAAATCCTTTTACCGAAATACATTGGAATCCGAGAGATTAAGCATAATTTCATAAGCACGAAATTCTGCTTCACTGGAATAATGGATCCCTTTCTTCGCCAAATCATCATACAAATAACGCAAGCTTTGCAAGCTTTTAGACAAATTCTCTAAATTGAAAAATTTGACTTCTTGATAACAATTCTTTAACATTAAGAACATTTTAACCCTGAATAACAAAAGTGAATCTTTCTATTTATTCTCTATAGGTTAAAGTTCTCTATTTTCAAAGATATAGAAATAGAATTGTAAACAGATAAATCAATGAATGACGATTATTGCAGGTCCCAAAAACTAATAAATCGATGAAAGAGAAAACACCCGTATTCATTTTTTGATCGAATTCATTGAAATTCAATTCGCAAAGACGATGAGATGCAAAGATATGCAGTCTGACACATTGTTCGATTAGAGTAACAGCAGTTTCGTTAACCATCATTTGCTGCGTTATGTCCTGAAATCGTTTCTTTTTATTTGCCATCAATACATCAACAATAAGTACTACTGTTTGAACCAAATAATTTTTGATTCATTCCCATAAAAAAATTTCTGAAACCATCAACTTTACCATGCTCAGCAGTCAAAACTTCTAATTTTTATCTCTTAGGGACTGAGAAAACCTAACAATGTTAATCCATTAGTTATGAGTCATATGACACTCATATTATATCAATCAAATACCATAAAAAGCTACCAAACAATAAACAATATTTCAAATTCAAACAATGGATAAAAGACCTTTCGGATAGCTCGTGTTCGATTCCACAGAAAATCATACCATTGTGCTAATTCCTCATCTGTTTCCGGAACATGGTTAGCAATCTGCATTTGTTAAATATAAATGCATATTTAACTGAAGGCTTCTGGAAAATTTAAAGGAAAAAAAAACATAGCTTACTTTTCCGACAAGATAATTCATAGTTCGCTGAAGGACATCTGCCGGTCTAAGCTCATGAGGCAGCGGCTCCTCCTAAAAAAACCGTCATGTTTATTCAATGATCTGAGAGGTACTTGAAACTATAAATAAATTATTTTTTCAGAAGATTTTCAAGAATTTAACAAAATAATTTTTACCTGATCAGCTGCACTTCTACTGTATTCTTTCACAGTCAGTTCGGGTGCAATACTTCCATCATCATGGCATTCATAAGGACTGAGACGTTTTTGTACTACTCTCATGTAGCGTTCTTTTTCTGGGCACATATCACAGCAAGAACCCTAAAATAATTTTTTTAAACATTCATCCTCAACCATGAATGTTGAAGAAAGAAGATAGAAAGAAAAGGAATCACCGTAGATGTAGGAAATAACTGACAGGCTTATATTTGTCACAAAATCAAATTTACTTTTTACTCTTAAAATTTGCTCTTAGGAAATGTTTATCTACTTGAGCTCTGAATATTCTAATAGTAGCCGTTCAGTGATACTGCAGTAAAAAATAATTTACCTTCAAAATTTTAAAAATTTCATTTTTCTCTTTAAATAAGGCACTTCCCTCTAATTATATAATATTACATAATACATAATAATCACAGTTTTATAACTATCCTTTGAATAATGAGGATAACGAATAACATAAAGAACTCTTAATCCTCCTTTGAAGAATTTATTCACCTGCATAACAGTTGCATTATCAACATCGGTACTTTTCAAACGTCCTCTATGCATCAAACGGTCACGTTCGTCTAGCAACTGATATTTATCATAGTCAGTTTCACAAACTCGTCCAATCATACGTTTCAACTGTCGTGCTAAAGAAGTTAAATTTTAATTATTGTGAACATAAAGAATTAATGAAATATGCAAGTATACAAGAATTAACAATCACACAATGTATATTTTAGAAGTGATTTCTTTGCACACGCTTAATCAGATAAATTCTAAAAAATCTACCGACTGCGCCCTTTGGTAGCAACACTTTTCAGTCACCGATTCTACTTTTGTATTATCAATATGTCGTTCCAACTTTGGAACATTTTCTTCCTTAACAGCTGGTTCACGTGCCCACGGCCTTGATGGCTCAACCTAACAAATGGAACAAAATTAAATTAGGGCTTTGGAAACTTGTCACGATTAAATATGCAACCAGATTTACTTCAAAAATACCTTTTCATAACGAAAAGAAAAAAGAAAAAAAAGGAAAAACGACGGAAATACATACTGTACGCATTACGCTAGTGAATCTGTTATCGACACCACTGTGTAAGGTACCACGAAGTGATGCGTTTAAACGCTTCCCAAGTTGTACACTTGCAAAAAGCGATGGTTTTACACTTGCTGAAGGCAGATCTTGTGAAATATTTTGGGCATGTTGTGTTGATGACATCCTCTTTCGGACTACACGTGCGGCACGTGCTACGGAATTCCGGCCACTTGCAAGCCTTACATCGACTGAACGCTTGAATGGTGAAGATGGACATGTTGAGGATGAAGACGGACCTCAAATTTAATCAAAAAGTTAATACGGGGAAAATGGTAAAACCAAGATATTACTAAGTGGTTAGCTCCACAGTCATCTAAGCTCATTCACTAACAAATACCATGCTAAATTTTTTTTTAGAATCGCGTCATAGCTAGCACCACTTTTTTGAAAATGGAAGGAAAAAGACATGACTTAAAACCGAATGAATTTAGTAATTAACCAAGTGGATCATCCAAATCGTTGTATCCTTTACGTCTTGGTAGAGTGTAGGGTTTCCGTGTGATACCGGACAATTTCGATGATGGGTTTGATGCTTTTTTTGGTCGTAAACTGGAATATGTGATAACATTTTTCCGAATAATAAAATTTAATAACAAGCAGTTAAGTCTTCCTTCAAGAGAAAAAAATCACTTACCAAGCTTGGGGAATTAGGACCAAATTTATTACCAGGTAAAAATAGACAATTTATTCTTTCGGTTTTCAAAAAATCAAAATTGGATTGAAGCTAACGATAACAAAAGACCTAACTGCTTTTGTAACAGTTTTACAACTTTGCAACATTTAATTTATACTATTTAGCTTTCTTTCTATTGCTACAATAAAAATTACTGACTCTAACCTTTCTGGAATTATAAACGGAAATGATCCAGAAGACATTTTTCCTCATTCACCAAAGAAATTTCGTTTACTTCTTTTACTCAAAATTCACGTTGCTTTTAGCATATATTGTATGAAATATTACAGCTTGAAGGAAAATTTGACTATTTTTCTGAAAATAACAAAAATTGATATATTCAAAAATCTATCACTTATTATCACATTTTATTCCATTCGATAAATACTGCAATTTACAGTATTTTATTGCACTGTCATTTTACAAAGATGGAATAAACAATACATAGTTCACATAAAAATAATAAAAGAGATGTATAGATGTCATGCAAAGCGCCGAACGTCCATTAAAAAAGAGCACCAAAAAACAGAAAGAAAATAAATACATAAAAGTAAAGGAACAAGCACCAAAGTGAAACAACGAAACGGACGTGAACATTTTCACGTTACCAACTTTTACGTCATGCAACGAATGACCGCAAACTGTTGGGATGTCAAATTTGCACAGTATTAAAGAGACAATAAATTTTGGCAAAAGAAAAATTGTGTGGGCATGTTTACCTTTTGCATGCAGCGTTGTTACGTTGCATGCATGTATGCATGCATGATATAATGTCAGTAATGTTTGAAAATATGTCATAAATAATATCGATAGTTGTAGTTAATTTAAAAATAATTTGTTAAGAGAAATTATTTTTAGTCATTACTTTCATTGATAAATCTTGATCAGTGAATAATTTTTGTTGACGAACTTTTATCAATAGCCTTTATCAGGATTATAAAATAAAATTTATCCCTGCTACTATCATCACTGCTTTAATAAATTGTTATCACAGCTTGCTATTTCATTCCAATCGATCCATATAGCATTATTACACCTGAATATACAAATAGTCTGGTGAATTTTCTATTAATGAACTGTCCGAAATGCTTCTTTACTTCCTATTGTCATTTTTTTTTCTTCCTTTCTTGTTTATGAAATTCTGCAAATTTTTATTCATTTTTTATGTTAATTATTTCTAACTAATTTGACATTATCAGAAATTTCCACAAATTTTTGACAATACAAAGCGAAGTAAAAATCATTGATTCTTTAATTTTCCACTTTTTTTTTCAAATACAGAAGAAAAATACGATAAATTTATTTATATTGTCATTAGAAAAGACAGAGTAGTGTAACTTGAAACGATAATGTCTTATTTAACGACTAAAAAAGTGACGAAGTAATTGATGAAAGTACTTTTTTGCATCACTAATTTTAAAATATTCATCGGTATAATAGATATGTTTCAAAAATTTTGAAATTTTTCTTTTTAGTGAAAATTTAATATTTTAAATATTTTTAGATGCATTTGATAGTAGCAACTGTATGGTTTACAATTTCACTAACGTTATGCTCGAGTTTCACGCAATATATTATGTCTGGTGGTCAAACATATGGTTTTATAACAGAACTTTTTTTTGATGTTTTCTCCTCGAAAGAATTACATTGTTTCTACGAAGATTTCCTATTATACAGCGATATAAGTATTTCTACTCGGGTAAATTTTAATTGAAACATGAGTAAAACAAGTACACAAATAACACAAAAAGTTAGGTTAAAGAATCAATGTGAAAAGTTTTGTAATATTATTTTTTTACTACTTTTCCAAATATATCAATAATAATAATAATAATTAATCAAACTGATATAGACAAACACTGTCTTATTGATACCTTAGCCTACACAGTTGTTGTTTTATCATTTCAGTTTTTTTTTTTTTTTTGTTTTCTTAAACCATAAAAGTTTTTATTAATTTTTAAAGTTTAAATTCAGTACTGTAAAAGAATAGAAGAAGAATTTTGAATTGTTTGCAAAGTTGACACAAAAAGTGTTATTTTTCTTATCATTGTTAAATTTTCCTTTCTGAATTAACTTTTGAATTAACAAGAAAAGAAAAAGAAAAGCATTTGTAGGTTGTTGATACTGAATCGCAATTGTTACATATGCGAATTAGATCACCGAGCAAAAATATTAGTAAATGGTATGAAGGAATCGATCAAGCGGAATTCAGTGGAATGCTACGAGAAGGAGGTCAATGATTTTAGAATTTAAGAGATGAATCATAGAAATAATTCTGGCTTATAGAATGCAAATTATGATCGAATTAGAACATTCTTATCTTTGACATTCTTATCTTATATTGTTATTTTAAAAATGAAAAAAAAAAATGGAATCATTTAAGGTACGTATGAAATTTGTACAAAAGTAGACGTAACAGGTACGCGACACGTACGTTTAATGCTAGTTATCTATGCTCATCATCGAGGAACAAAAAATAAAGCTAATAAACTTAAAAAAGAACATCATGAAACAACAGAAAAAATGAACGTAAGATATTTATTCATTAAAAATAAGAAAAAAAATGAAAATTTTGTAATATTCATAATTAAAAAAAGAAAGAAAAGAAATAATTAAGGTCTTTAGTATTGTATAGTGTCATATATACAATATAGTCAAATAGAAAGTTACTAAAAATTTTTTCCTTCTAAATTTAAAATTAAAATGAAAAATTATTGCAGGAATCGATAAGCAATTTGAGGGAAATGATAGCTTCATCTGCATTTGCATTAAAGCAACTGAAATCAACACGTGATATACATTTGCAAATTAAAAATGCCAATAATATTGATATGTTTTCATTAATACAAACAATTATTATTCTATGCACAGCGATTGTGCAAGTTTTTATTATTCGAAAATTTTTCTCTAACACTTCTAAAATTGTTAGATAATAAAGTAAAGAAGAAAAAAAAATGTAGGCAATTTATATAATTTACAGTCTCCTAAAATAATAATAAAAGATACAATGTATCGTCCTTGCTTTTCTGAGTAATTAAACAAATCAATTTCATTGTTTTAAATTTCTTAGCATTTTTTTTTTGTTTTTTTGAAAAGTATGATTAAGAGATTTATAAAAGATAAAGAGGTTTAAGAGATTTATAAAAAATAAGGAGGTACGAATGAAATTTGAAGACTTAGATACATATTTTTTGCTTCTATTTCTGTGATGGAAATTATTAATTAATTTGTTATTATCATTATCATCATTATTGTTATTAATATTATTATTGCCATTATTATCATTATTAATTATTATTATTAATAATTGCTATATAATTCGCAATGTTTGCTTAAAATTCTTTCATATATTTCAGCCAAAAATTATCCAAAAAAAAAAAGAAATATATTGCATAAAATGATTATATAGAATTCATCAAAAAAATCTATAAATCAAAAAATTGCATACATTTTCCTTTTCATAATAATGCATTAATTCAGTTTTGGTTCAATATATGAATTAAAGGTTATGTAAAAAGAAAAAAGAAGCATAACGATATCATAAAATACAGAAATTCTTTTATAAGTTTTTTATTTTTATAAAAAGAAAAAATCAATACGAATAAAAGGGATTTGTGTTGTTTCTTGCATTTTGTTAAGATAAGATGATATTAATGATGCTTGAAGCTATCATTATTTTCATGCACTTTGTTTTCAAAGTAAACATCTAAAATATATGCTTCCAAATTTTTTTTTTAAAAAAGTAATTTTCCTTTTTTTTCTCCTCAAGAATATATTTTGTTATCCTTCGTTTTGCTTTTATTCTTTATACATATATAAGTATACGAATGTTTATATTATTTTTCAATTCAAAATAAAGATTGTATTCTGGCAAAAAAAGATACATTTTACAAGAAAAAGAAATATTAGCATATATTTTATAAATATAAATTATAAAATTGAAAAATTATTTTTGCTTAATTAATTTTGTATAAAATCGACTCTAACAATAAAATAATTATAGATCATTCCTTTAATTAAGCTATATGATTAACGTAGCGATAAGTTAAATTATATAATGCTTTTTGAAGCATTATATGTAGAATTTTTTTCTGTTGAAAAAAGGGAAAAGACAAAGTATTTTGTTAATTTGATAGTTGAAGTAATTAATTGTAGTTGATAAATGTTTCCAAATTAATTATTGAAGGGTACTTTAAACTTTATACTTAATCATATGTACGGAATATAATTTAATAAAATTTCCATCTCCATTTTTCATTTTAGTATGTTTTACTATTTATGTTCACATAAATATTATCAACGATGAAAAGTTATGTCTTATTATTTAGTATTATCAGTATGATATCATCACGTGCTACTTACATTACAAAAAAATGTAGAATTACATAGCAACGCTATAATTTTAATTTTTAATAAAATTATAAGATAGCATAAATAAAGCTAAGTGTTTTGTAGGAATTGTTATCCACAAAAAAAGGAAAAAAAATATTCCGTAATATTTGACATTAATAAAGTAGATGAAACACATTTCAAATAATTTTATTGAATAAATAAATGCATTATGACTTACCTTGGAAGTAATCCAAAAAATACATTTAATAAATTTTACTCGAATTGCAGGCAAAATAAGCAAAAATTATTGATATAAAGTTATAGGAAAACATCCAAGAAATTTTCCAAATTTTTTCATTTTTCATTTTTTTTGTTAAATTCTACAAAAATAAACTTTGGTTATTTGAAATTGTTAGAAGAATGATAGTAAAGGAAATAAGTGATAAGTGCTAATTATAATTTTTATTACAATTTTAATCTTTTTGCTCATACACCAAAAATGTTACTTTTAATCAAAGTACAAATTGCTAATTAATCGTAATCCAATGAATTTAACAAATTACGAATCAAATTTTGTTTTCTTCATTTAATCATATTTGTTTGGTTAAAGATTATTGTGTGAATAAAAAATTTCGAACTTGGTTAAAAATTTAAATTTCCCAGTCACTGAATTATGAATCAAATTGAATTAAAAGTATATTAGTTGAACTGAAAATTTAATTTGTATTTGTTTTTTTTTCGAATTTTACAATGCTGCATTGTTTCTTTAACGCAAACGAAGCATTAATTTAAAGATTTAGTTTGATGTTATTATCACTTATATTAAAAGTCAATGAACTGAAATATTAAAGCATAAATAATTCAAATTTGCCTTCTTTACTTCAAACATCATAAATTTATGCCGGAAGTGACATGTATGTTTAAATAAAAACTCAATTTTAATGTTTTAAAATAGGTACTGTCTTCACTCTTCTCTTTCTCTCTCTCTCTCTCTCGTTTCCTCTCTCTTTCTCCTTTTTTAATGACACTTGAAAAAAGCGCAAGGATTGAAATTTAATTTGCACTTTTGGTGATGCAAAGTGATAAATGCTACAAAACGAAGTAATTTATTATGCAAATAGAAGCGAATATGTTAGGAATAACTTTATATAACACTGAAGATTACAATATTTACTTTTTATATGAGAAAAATTTTGATTTGAAAAAATTATATTTCCAGGAGAAAAAAAGTTTGCGAGTTTTTTTTTTTCGAAATTGCACAGAAAAGTAAAAATTATTATGACATGACGAAAGCAAAAATTATGACAAGTTTATATAATACGAAGGTGAGGTACGAGTATAATTATACAGGGATAATAAATAATTAAAATTTAATTTACATTCATGAAGCGAGAAATGAATTCATATAAAATAAATGTCGATTTTTCTAAAGTTTTGCAATTAAATATTATTAATTGTAGATTAAAATTTAAAAATTTAATTTATATTTAGTTTAAAAGAAGAAATTCATGAAGCAAACAATGATTTCTTTTTAAGTTTTATATTCCTTCCATAAAATTATTTAGCTAAAATTCAGCTTTTAATAATCGAAACGACCACTTTGCTTTAATTTTTTTATTTTTGCAATTTTTTCCCCTTTATTTCGCCTTGTTTAAGTAAAAAGGAAAAAAATGAAAATAGCAAGTTTCAACGAATGAATGCCATCAAATTGAGCCAAAACGTGCGTGTACTAGCAGCTAATTAAAATAATTACGATTGTATTTCTCTCTCTCTCTCTCTCCTTCTTCCCATCTCTTATTTTTTAAAACTAATTTACTTTTAATTTTTCAATCTTAATTATAGAAAATTATTAAATAATTATGCTATTGTCCTCCTTCTGATTTTATCATCAGTATTATACCATTTTTTTAAAAAAAAATTCCACTTTTTCTAAATTAACATTAAATTTCAATTTAATAACAAATTTCTAGTTCATATTGTTGTGTACAGAAATAAATATTAACCTGAATGTTAGTTGAATTAATTAATTTAATTTATATTTTCAATTTCTTAGATAATTCAGTATATCAGATGATAATAATATTTATTGATTAAGTAACTTATAATCACATTTAAATTACAACACGCAAAGCGCAAATGGTGCATTAATTAATTGTTTTGCTAGTAATTATCACTTTTAAGTACATTTTTCGTGTAATCCAAGTTCTAATAACATTTATTTCTTTTTTTCTTTAAAGGCTTTCATACTGAGTAAATAAAATCTATTCAATATGAAAATACATTCATTGCTGACAAATAGCCATAATATACCAAATTATTTGTTGAAAATACATTATATTTACTATTTGCACCGTTTTACGTGCATGTATAAATATATAAACAGATAAACAAATAAATAAATAAACAGATAAACAGATAAATAAAGTGATGAACAAACCTAAGTTTTTATAAAACATATTATGTTTGCAATACACATGTGCTTATTATTTTTCCATAGCATATATTTAAATTTATTTTTAAAGCATATGTTTAAATTTCGGTTTAATATAATTTGATCACCGCCTTTTAACCATTTTTCTTTAAAATACACACAGATTTTTTTTTTTTTTTTTGTTAACCATTTTTAAGTTATAAAGAAATCTTGTTTAGAACAATAAATCATTTTTAAAAATGCTATTAGTTATTTTCTTTTTTTCAGTTATTCCTTTCATAAAGTACAATTTTTCTATCAATTTTTTTTCTTAAATCGAAAAAGTTTTTCTTTATTTATCTCTCCCCATTTTAATATAATTTTATTTTGTGCTATTTTTTCCTTTCTTTTTTTTAAATAGGTGAAATTTTCTCTTTTATATAGATAAACTGATTTTCTAAATTCAGATCTGCTTGACAAACTTTTTCCAGCTTAATTAATCGATAATTGATATTTGTTTTCTGTCCGGAAACATTTTAATGAAGTAATAATCAAGTCATATGATATAATTTATCAAATAAAGGTCAAAAGTATATGTATATTCCATGTTTTCTATTTTTGCTTAAATTTTTTAATTACTCAACAAAATTTATGGCAGTTTAAATATATCATTTTATAGTAGCACATCATCATGTTTAATTCTTAGTTCTCTCAGATCGTAGCTTAGAAAAGTAAGGCTTTCTTGCTTTGCAGAAAAAAGAAAATATTTTTATTTAATCTAAAATGCATAACAACATTTATGTGCATATATATATTAAAATCAAATATTTTAAGCTAAGCCAAGCTTTTGTCATTTCATTTAATCAGAGTCAAATATTTAATAATAATAATAATAATAATAATAATAATAATAATAATAATGGTGATAATAACAATAATTAGTTATTATTATTTCAATGTATATTTGAAAGTACTAACAAGATAATACCATAAATTTTCATTTCTATTTTATCACATTATATTTAAAACTTTTTTTCATATTTATTGATACATTCAAACAAATAATATTTTAAAATATTAAATGATTATTTCAGGATAAGATGAAAGGATCGGTGTGAAGAAGATAGCTATCATACTATTATATGATATGCATAAATAAACTAAATAACAAAAAATGATTTTATTAAAATT